AAGGCAGCTTCCCACCGTGTAATCGGTGTAAATCTGTGAACCCAAAGTAGTAACGAAGTGCGCGATTCTGTACCATCTCAATGCAGTGATAGTTTCGAAGACCCCATATTTCACTACAATAGTCCCAAACTGCGGGTTTAATTCAGAAACATCATATCACTATTTTATGAATTGTCCAAAATACTGTATGCAAAGACAGAACCTAATACAAAACTTTAATACTTTGCAATTACCAATGCCTTTATGTTTACAACTTATTCTAAATGGAGACAATAATCTTACATATACAACCAAAATATTGCAATATTTAAACTTGTTCAAGAATTTATTGCAACTACAAAGCGATTTGCATGATATTCTATCTGCTTTTGTTTTTCAATTGTCAAATCACAGAACCAAAACCTATTTATGTTTTTCTTATTCATTTTTTTTTTAAAATTTATACAATTATTAATATAATTGCCAGTCATATATGTTAAAATATGAATTTAAATTATATTATCAGCTCATCTATTTCTCTTTTTTTTGTTCTCCTTAATTTGCCTTGTCATATACATTTCTACTGAATATATGCATGTATTTATTTATATTTTTCAATGTTATATTAATATTTACTTGTACATGTATGATTTTGACCTTGTATTGTGGAAAGGACTTATATAGGCAGTGCTTGCTGTCCAATCGAATTATGTTTATCATAAAAAAATATTGTTTAAATTAACAGCCGGTGCTATACAATTCAGAAAAAGTTTTTTCGAAAGTTGAAATCCCTATTTCTTTATATGGACGAATTTTGGAAACCATCCCTCCGAAAGCACGTCCACCTGCTTTTGACAAAGTATCGGCATTATTTTAGAAACTAGGCTTTTCATGGAATGGAGTAACTATAAGTCAAATATAACCTCCGATTTTATGCAATATCAAATGTATATATTAGATTATCTATATATGTTTAAAGGTGGGGGAAGATGAAGCATATATAATGTACATTACATACCTCTGGGCTCTTTTGTTTTATTATTAAGGATCATTGTGACAGTGAGGAACTTTTATATTGAAAATACATGATTTAGTCTATCTTCCATGATTTTGCCCCTCGCATTACATGTTTAATATGTGTTTTTCTTTCTTTTTTTTCTTTATCTCCCTTTTCATATTGTGATTATGTACTTCATATTCTTGCACCTCTGACCTGAATTGATGTAAATTAATATATAGTTTTTCATTATCCTCATCATGTATTAATTAAACCAACAAAAATTATCATGTGCATTTACAAGTTTTCATTTATTACTTTAACAAATTGTTTAATAACAAAATAAAAAATTATGCTAAATAATTAATCATTAATAGTAAAAGGTGTTATTTGTTTTTCTAGAAATGGCAGTCTCTTTAAATTATAATGTTGGATTAAATGTTCAATATATTCACTTTTTTCAAATGAATATTCATATAGTTACATTGAATTACTATTTATTCCTTCTGTTTATGATACATAGGTAAAGTAAGGTAAACCAAAATCAGACTATAATTGTTATTCAAAACACATTTAACACCATTATTGTTTTATACCTAATTGTAAAATGTGCGCAAAACGGAAACACACCGCTGGGAGTCATAAAAAAATTCAACATTAATTTACGTTACATGTGTAGGTGAGGTTCGACGGGGAGTAGCGCCGAGTGGGCTAGCTGGGATTACTAAAGAAGTACTAACAGTGTATATATATACACTGTTACGCACGCCTGAACTTCAACGATAGCCCTAAACATGGTAAACAGCAACAGGGCTATGTCAGTCAACGTAATGTTAGGAGAGGGATTCATTGCTATAATTGAATAATAATTAAAAAATCTTTTCCCTAATTATTTTCATCCTTTCATAATTATACCATGTTTCTTCAACATTCAAGAAATAGTTATATACTTGACATAATTACGGTACTAGGATTGCGGAATGGTTTCTTGCCCAACCAATTATGAAATAATTAATTTACTCCTAACAGAGACATATAAGAAATATTTTATGAAATTTAAATCTGTTACAATTATTCCAAAGGTGTAATAATGTCAAAAGAAATCATGTCCAAGATAATTTTTTTTCATTCTTGAAAAATTGATAATCGAGTGAACGTGTTATATTCAGTTACCTGCGCAATTATAATCGGCGATAAATTTCAATAATTTTGGACTATCTCAGTATAATGTGAATATAGTAGACAGAACATGATGATGAGCAAAGAAAAGGCAGGTTTTAGATTGATAACGGATCGAAAGATGTAGTGGCTAAAATATGTCACGAGAAAGCAAAGAGTACAATAGCGGCAAAAGCTGTATAATTTGTCATCGGAAAGCACGATTTTTCTCGCGGAAAGCTGTTTTGAATGGCGGAAAAGTGATACTGCGAGTCTCAGTCCTATAGCTTTCGCTGAATTTTCATCGAAAGCCACAGGACTGGATGAGGGATGAAAATGAAGTGAATCCATTCCATTATATCATTAATGTTTAAAGACCCAATTTTTTTACCGTACGGTTACCTCAGGAGGGGGAGTGGTCAAAGTAACAGTGAAGTTATTTACCTGGAGACCCCCAATACCCAAGATGTCAAAAATCTGTGTATACGTAGCATAACACAGGAAGTCTGTGTTTGGTAATCAGGGTCAACATTACGTGTTTTGCGTCTGGGTTTCAGTGAAACTATGTAAAATAATTATTTTAATATGAAATTTATTTGTAAACTAAACGTATTCATCTAAATCATAGTATTACAATGTTTTGAAGGAAAAAAAAAATAATAATATGATACCTGTATATCGTTTTAGAAAAGGTTTTCCTTACATAAAAAATCACGTGTAAAAACTACAAATCAATAATATTTATCTTTTTTTAATCATCAATAAAAGAAATCACTTGATTAAAAAAGTCTGACTATTGAAATAAAAAAAAAATATTAATCCACCTATTCGTCGAGCATGTGAACATGCATTTACCGCGATCAGCATGTTGTTTTTTTTATGGCCTACAATGTTGTCCAAAATACCGGTATTCCATATTTTGTAGCCATATATAGTACAAAATAAAACATCTTTTAAAAACTATGCTATGCCGTTTATTAGTGCTGAATATTTTTCTTATATCCCAGTTCTTAAAAAAATAATTAATTCGTCGGACTTCCAATTACGGCAAATAAAGCCGGTTTCTGTGAACGCGGTCTTTTTTCTACAGATAAACGTGGACGATAACACTTACAAGTAACAAACAGCAGTGAAGATAGAAAAGAAATATTTTATTATGTCAATGTTTTAATTATCTACTTTCAATTATTTTTTTGAAATAAAATCAAACATATTGGAGTTTTCTAATCCGCGTGTATACTATGCGGGTACATGAAAGCGTTTGACGCGTGACCAGGTAATTGTTTTCAAAACATGCAAACTCAGATTATCAGGAAGGACAGGTAGCTGACCTGTCAATCAAATCAGAAGCTATTGTTTTTTAAATGATTGACGGGTGGTAAATTATTGATCTTGAATCAGGTAGATTTTGGGGGCGTTAACATAAAATTGGGTGTTTAAAAAGTTCAACATCAAATATTTTAGATTCTGATTCAAAACAACTACCCGTAAAACGCAAAGTTTTTACTGCATATGTGCTCCTGAGCCATTGTAATTTCTATAAACAAATACGAAATCAATAATATTTTTATTTAAAAAAGAAAGAAAGGAAAAGATGATGTCCGTGGTCTTCACCCCAGTGGTTCCTATGGTCAAGTAAGAGTTATCTCCTTTAATACGACATACTCTCGTATCAAACACTAAATGAATAAAATATATACTTAAAAAAAAAATTTTTGATTAATTTTTTGTCAAATGTTAACCAAATATTTTTTAAAAGTAACATATCAAATATCTTAATAAGAAATTAGAGAAACAACACCGCGAGGGTTAGATTTTTCGGCAGGCGTGCTCCACGCCGTATGCAAACTTTAAAACGATCAAAAATACCATTCTGTGCTTTTAAAATTATTATTGTTTCCTAAAACATCAACTACAGGGTCTGAAAAAGTAATATACCTAACAAAAATCTAATTAATTCCATTAATAACACGGCAGGCGTATAGATTTTCTCGGCAGGCGTATTTTCCTCTGGCAGGCGTCGGCAGGCGTATTTTAGTGTTACCCTCCTATTTTTGATATGGAAACATCCTCAGGTAGTGTAGGTGGATTTTTCTTGTTCAAATCAATGCAATCATGACCCTAAGGGGTAGGATGGGGCCACAGTAGGGAATCAAGATTTTACATATTAGGAATACCTAGCAAACTGGGTCTTCAGATAACGTCAACTAAAAAGTAGGTCACAAAGACTTACATTTTGAATTTTGTGGCTATATTTAAATATTTCCATTTCTAATTTCTTTCTCTGTGATAAATCTTTGAAAGTTAGGGGAGTTTATTTTTTTATAATTCTGCCAGAATGTAAATTAGGCAGCCAGGTCGATAGATCAGGAGCTATGCATGCAAATCTCGTGCGCATCTGTCTCTGTGTCTGATGCTAAGGAGGCCAAATAATATGCATATAAATCTCGTGCGGCTGTCTGTGTGTTTGACGTGATTTGGTGAGGACTACCGTATTGAAATTGGCATGGGAGTCCTCGTGTAATTTAAATCCATTAGTCTACATTTTCAAAGTCTAAGTCTACAATTTTATTTCACAATGAAATGGAAATATAAGGAATCACTGTCTAGTTAATATAGTATGCCAGGGACATCAACGATAGTGGGAAACATGGGGTAATTTATGCATAATGGGCTTAGCCCGTTATGCAAATTATCCGATGTTTCCCACTATCGTTGATGCCCTGGCATACTACACTTACTAGACAGTGATTCCTTAAAGGTACGTCTTACGCAAGGAAATAGCATCAAAATGAACTTAGTCAATTGAAGTTCCATATATATAGAGACGATCTTGTTTTTCTTTTTTCTTTTTTGGCAATTTGTTTTAGGCCTACAGTATTAAAATTGGACTCATGTACTAGGAACATCATTTCTTTAGCAGAATTATCCCACTGAATTAAAAGGAACTCTTTTTTCAGGTGCGCATGATGCAACTTCCTTGATGATGTGTAGGCTGTTTGTCAACATGTGAATCCAATGTACATTTCTGGGTAGGTATGTTTACTGTCGATTTTCTATCTTAAAAGCCGCATAAGGCATATTTTTTCTGATCTCAAATTTTTGTTTAAGCATTAATCTTTATTTTCTCTTTCATGAATTTTCTGCTGAGAGTCTAATAAATTAAATTATTTAATTCAAGCTATATAATAGTGAAATTATTTCCTTGTGTGATATTGGAAGAGGAACAGGTAACTCTCATTTTCACTAAAATTTCTCTGATTTCAGGAGTTGTCTCCCCTTGAAAAGATCAATAATGGCGGATAAACAATGCGGCATGCAGTCTGGTCACCAACGGACAGTTTTGACACTGTATACCTGTATTTCTACCAATTACCTCAGTAACCTTTGTTGTGATCACACAGGTAAGAAAAACAAGATTTTTAATTCAAATAATTTTAATGAGCTAAAGAATTAAGAATATAACATTTTTACATGTACAGACTCTCTCGTATAAGAAAATGTCACATTTTACACTTACAGTAATACATTATTTACATGTCCACATTTTCCCCATTTACACAGTTGAAAATAATCAATGCATAATGTACCATAAAACAATTATTACATGTAAGATAGTTCACAAAATATATTTTAAGTACAAATTTTACATATTTGAAATGCATGTACATATCGTCAATACCCCCCCTTCAAAGTCTTACAACTTCCTTTTTAATTTTGGATCTGTTAATGATTTACTGTAAGTGTCTTTAGATTTTTTATCGTACAGCCGATATCTTTTAGATCTGTAGTATTTTCATTGAAATTTATATTTTAAAAGTTTTTGATTCATTTTAAAGTAATTTTGTCTATTTTGTTGTTGTTTTAGATGATGGACCACTCTACTCTCTTTTACAACAGGTGCCTCTACAGATTCACAAAGTTCCAGTGTTGAGTTTCCATGACCCCTATTCAGTGAGTGCACAACTTTATGTATTCTACTTTCAAAATTTCTACTACTTGTAATACATTTTGGATTTGATTTTAAATATGCCCTATTTACAGATTCAGAATTTTGTGTACAAGTTGATATTTGATTCTATCAAGATTACTTTGTCCTAAAGTCAAATTTATACAGTCCTTTAACATACGTTTGTCTTTTTCTGTCATGTTTAATTCAAAGTCACTAGGCAACACTGAAGATTTCCACTTATTGCTTTTCAGTCCAAGACAGGAAAAGGAATAGAGTTGACAGGACTTCTTGCACTGTCCCTGGTAGCAGTTTATGAGGGAACCAACCGCAGTAGACATAGCACGCTTCATCAAAGGTAAGTCGCCGGAGTAGTGTTTGTAGCAATTTTCGTACTTTGTCCTGCATCGAAGCTTCAGGTCCAAGGCAGATCTTCTCTGCATGGATTCTCTTATGGCCTTGGTTCTTCCCGGAAACGTGTGACTGCTGAATGGAGCTTTAGCACTCTGTTTTCTTTGAGAGTCAAAGAAGTGACGCAAGTCCTTAACGTTTTCAATTAAATGTCCTTGTTTTTCAGATGCACCAGATGCAGCGGCTTTGTCTCCATCACTGGTGAAATGGGATATAAGTGGCTGGTCATCACTTTGTAACTCACCAACACAATTAGCGACCCATCTCTTCTCGTCTCCAGAGGAATGGTTGCAGTGCAGTCTTCTTGTCTTTGGCAGGTAACTTCTTTTCCTTTGCTTCGTAGGTGTGCGCCTTTCTTACATAGTTTATTCCCACAGAAAACTGCTACCACATTCTTCCTCTGAGTTACGGTATATGTCACTTGGGTGGCAGCTTGGAATGGGGTTTTCCCAATGGCACTGAAGGTTGCATTATTGTACCGAGCATCTCCTTCGTCTCTGATGGGGGTATCAGGAAGTCCACATTTTTCATTAAGTTCTTGAATATTTTGCCGAATTTTCTTCATACTGTTTTTATTTACATCTGTTATAATTTTCCCCACTTTGTTGCAGGTCTGTTGCATATTGGCAGCTGACGCTGGTTCAATATTTGCACCAAGAAGCATACCACGCATACCCTCTGTTGTAAGACTGGTACCCAGGTGACCGACAGCCATGGCCACAATCAGCTGTGCAGCTCTTCGTCCCCTGCCAGATCTTCTCACCTCTTCGTAAAGCTTTTCTCGGTGACTGGTATAGTGGCACTTCTTACATCAAATGGAAAGGATCCATGCCAGGCATCGTTTTTCCTCCCCATGCTGATTCCAGTCCAGTGGACCATCACAGTCTGGAAACTTCTGTGAGTGTTCTTTAAATGCATTGTTCCACAATTTAGCAGTCTTTTCTTGGTGAAGTACTTTTGAATTTAGGTCATCTGACACAGATTCCATGTAGGCGTCCACTGGCTGGACCTCACTTGGCCCGGGTTGTAAAAACTTCATCTCGCTGCTTCGGCTCTTTCCATCTATATGCAAAAAAACCCATTTTTCTGTGGCCGTACAATGTCCTGAAACTCTTCTTTACTTAGTCTTCTTATGGGAACTAGAGATTGGACTGGGCTGGTGGTCCCTATTTTCTTCTGGCCTTTGTTGTGAGGAATACTTCGTTTTTTGTATTGATGTTGATACAACCATTTTGGTCCTTTTTGTGGCATGGTAATTATTTAACTGTATACTTGTAGACTTTTTCTAAGAATATGCTATTGTATGTGGTGTACATTTGTAAGTATTGTAAATTTTTGTGTTGTTATTCACTTTAGAGCTGCCTGGTCTTATAAGAGAAACTTCATTCTTTGATGACTGATTGAAAAGCCTCATCACCCCACAGTGGCCACACTGCTTAAGAACCCCTTATCTTAATCACCAGCCATTAATCAGTGATCACTGTTATCAAGGCTCCAAGGTACATTATTGAAGTCTCTATTGACACCATTTTTTCCAGTCTTTGACTTTGTTTTAGAATTAAGATTTTCACTTTTTTGCTAATTAATTCCTTAAAAATCACTTAACTTCCTGTTTCTTAGCTAATTAGAGCTCATTAATTAGAGTTGAAATTATGTTTTAGCAGATAGCCAAAAACTACAATATTTCAGCTTTCATTTCATTCAAATCTTTTTTCTCAATAATTCACTCATTAAATTTTTTCAAGTTTTGAAATTAATATGCTTAAAAATGAATATGACAATGTACAGAAATTTTTCATCCCTTAAGGACAAAGATAAATTTTGATGCACTAGTATATGAAAGATAAATAACTCGGAGACATTTTGTGCAAATTTCATTTAGTTTCATTAACTTTTAATTGTCTTAAAGGTCTTACGCAAGGAAATAGCCAATCAAAATGAACTTAGTCAATTGAAGTTCCATATATATAGAGACAATTTTTTTTTCTTTTTAGCTCACCTGAGCCGAAGGCTCAAGTGAGCTTTTCTGATCAAAATTTGTCCGTTGTCTGTCGTCGTTGTTGTCGTTGTTGTTGTCGTTGTTGTCGTAAACTTTTCACATTTTCATCTTCTTCTCAAGAACCACTGGGCCAATTTCAACCAAACTTGGCACAAAGTATCCTTGGGTGAAGTGGATTCAAGTTTGTTCAAATGAAAGGCCACGCCCTTTTCCAAGGGGAGATAATCATGAATTTGTTAAAAATTAATGGCATTTTAAAAAAATCTTCTACTCAAGAACCGCTGGGCCAGGAAAGATGAAACTCATGGAAGCATCCTTAGGTAGTGTAGATTCAAGTTTGTTTAAATCATGACCCCCGGGGCAAGGGTGGGGCCAACATGGCCGACCCAAGTTTTACATAGGAATATATAGGAAAAATCTTGAAAAATCTTCTTCTCCAAAACCACTGGGCCAGGAAAGATAAAACTCTGTGGAATCATCCTCAGGTAGTGTAGATTCAAGTTTGTTCAAATCATGACCCCCGGGGCAAGGGTGGGGCCAAAATGGCCGACCCTAGTTTTACATAGGAATATATAGAAAAATCTTTAAAAATCTTCTTCTCAAGAATCATTGGGCCAGGAAAGATGAAACTCATGTGGAATCATCCTCAGGTAGTGTAGATTCAAATTTGTTCAAATCATGACCCCCGGGGCTAGGGTGGGGCCAAAATGGCCGACCCAAGTTTTACATAGGGATATCTAGGGAAACCTTTTAAAATCTTCTTTTCAAGTACTTCAAAGCTATGATTAGTGATATTTATATGGAATCATTTTCAGGTAGTTTCTAGGGAAACCTTTTAAAATCTTTTCAAGTACTTCAAAGCTATGATTAGTGATATTAATATGGAATCATCCTCAGGTAGTGTAGATTCTAGTTTGTTCAAATGATGAATGCCTGGAGGGGGGGGGGGGAGTAAATTCAAGCCCGATGTGCTCAGGTGAGCGCTGTGGCCCCTGGGCCTCTTGTTTAGCTCTTCTGAGCCAAAGGCTCAAAGAGCTAATGCTATGGCCATTTGTGCGGTGTGCGTAAACTTTTTAGAATATTGGCCATAACTCAAGAACCCCTTGCCAATCAGTACCAAATTTGTCACAGGGTATCCTTGGCCCAAGGGCTACCATTTATACTAATCAGGAAAACTAAACCAAAAGTACTGGTTGCTAAAAAATCTTCTTCTCGATAACCACCGGGCAGATTTTTAATAAACTTACATACAAGGATCAAGATATGTGGAAGATTAAAATTTGCACGGGGAATTACCCTGGGGCAAAGGGCGTGGTCTCAAGGTCACTTCAAAGTTGACCTAAATTTACATTTAATAAAAACGTGTGTATTTTGCTTACTATAAGGACTAGGATCATCAAATCTTGTAAGTTGATGCATCTTACGACTTCACATCATATGAACTCAAAAGTAGGTCACTGTGACCTAATTTTTAAATTTTGCAGGGATTTGTTTTCAAATTGATTTGAAGGCATATTTTGGACACTTTAAAGCCTACGATCATCAAACTTTTGTCAGTTGATGCATCTTGGGTCCTCGAACAATGTCAACTTAAAATTAGGTCACCCTGACCTACTTTTTGAACGTTATGACTTATATTTTTAAAAACATTAAATCCCATTATTTCAGACATTGGGAGGTTTAGAATCATCAAATATTGTACTTTGATGCATCTTGGGACCTTAAAACATATTTATGAAAAAGTAGGTCACTGTGACCTACTTTTTGAATTTGGCCGACATTTGTTTTCAAATTGTTTAAAACGCATATTTTGATTACCTTCAGACCTACGATCATCAAACTTGGTCAGTAGATGCATCTTGGGTCTTTAAAAAATGTTGACCAATATGTAGGTCACGATGTCCTACTTTCGACATTTTATGGCTATATTTAAGTATCTTAGGTATTTATTGGCTTAGAATCATCAAACTTTGTGAGTCGATGCATATTTGGTTTTCAGAGAGTGACGACCAAAAAGTAGGTCACATTGACCTACTTTTGACATTTTATGGCTTTATTTAAGTATCTCCAGTACTCATTGGCTTGGAATCATCAAACTTTCTGAGTTGATGCATCTTGGGTTTTCGGAGGATGTCGACAAAAAATGAGGTCACGGTGACCTACTTTTGAATATTTCAGGTACGTATTAGCTTAGAGTCATCAAACTTTGTCAGTTTAGGCACCTTGAGTTTTCAGAGAATGTCGACCAAAAAGTAGGTCACTGTGATCTACTTTTAACATTTTATGGCTATATTTAATTATATCTGTTACTTATTGGCTCAGAATCATCAAACTTTTTCAGTTGAGGCATCTTAGGGTTTCATTGAATGTCCAACAAGAAGTAGGTCATGGTGACCTACTTTTGAATGTCTCAGGTACTTATTGGCTTAGAATTATCAAATTTTGTTAGTTTAGGCATTTTGGGTTTTTCGATAATGTCGACCAAAAAGTAGGTCACCCTGACCTACTTTTGACATTGGATGGCTATATTTAATTATCTCTGGTACTAATTAGCTTAGAATCGTCAAACTTTGTTAGTTGATGCATCTTGGGTTTTCAGAGAATGTTGACTAAAAAGGAGGTCATGGTGACCTACTTTTGGATATCTCAGGTACTTATTTAATTAGAATCATCAATTTTTGTCAATTAATGTATCTTGAGTCCTCAGAAAATTTTAATCAAAAGGTAGGTCACTGTGACCTACTTATAGTATTTTATAATTATATTATAATATATTCAGTCTTAACTGGTTAAATATTATCAAACTTTGTAAGTTGATGCATTTTGGGTTTTATGATACTAATAGAGTTGGAGGCTTCTAATAGAAGTGATAGATTGTACAATTTATCAGAAGAGCGATTCAAGGCCCTGGGGCCTCTTGTTCATTTTTGTTAATTTGTTTTAGGCCTACAGTATTAAAATTGGACTCATGTACTAGGATTATCATTCTTTAGCAGAATTATTGCACTGAATTAAAAGGAACTCTTTTTTCAGGTGCACATGATGCAACTTCCTTGATGGTGTGTAGGCTGTTTGTCAACATGTGAATCCAACATGCATTTCGGGGTAGGTATGTTTACTGTTGATTTTCTATCTTAAAAGCCGCATAAGGCATATTTTTTCTGATCTCAAATTTTTGTTTAAGCATTAATCTTTATTTTCTCTTTCATGAATTTTCTGCTGAGAATCTGAAAAATAAATAATTTAATTCAAGCTATATAGTAATATATAGTGAAATTATTTCCTTGTGTGAGATTGTAATTTCAAGGCTTTGTGATAGATTGTACAATTTATCAGAAGAGGAATTCAAGGCTCTTAGGGCTGATGTTCTCGTTAAACACTGACATCCACACACAAATAAGAGGAAACAGTACAACATACTCAAAATGGGTAGATACAAATAAATCCTATGGGAGTAATATTTTAAATTCCTAAGGGATTTTTTTAAAACTAAAAGATTATGAAATTAAGAAGAAGATGGCACAAAAAATAATCCTATAGGAATAATTCTCAAATTCCTATGGGAATTTTAATCCTATGGGAATTTTTTTTCCTAAGGGAGAAAAAAATTCCCTTTGGAGTATTTTTTTTTCCTACAGGATATATTTTCTCCTATAGGATTTATTTTTCTCCTTTAGGAAAATAAATTCCCTTAGGAAATTAAATTCTCCCATGGTAAATTTTAGTCCTAC